GTGAATGTATTCGGGGAGTTCAGGATAGGCATCCATAAGCCAAGGAAATTTGCTTAGGATAAAAAGAGACTCTGGGAGGGCTCCGATGGCGAGCAGGCTCTTTAGCAGCATGACCTTCTGATCCGAGGGCTCTGGCAGTTCATCTTCGTCTGTCTTCTGTGGAGTTGCTTTGTCCGCTTCTTGGTCCTTTGCAGGAGTGGATGACCGTTGTTCCGATTCCCGAATGCGCGGGATTGGCAACGTATCGTCCGAGAGAGCGCCAGCCATCATCAAAGCATTTACGCCTCCACCCGGCCGCGCCGCTCTTTCTCTTTCTGCTTTCTCCTTCATCTTTTCCTCCTTCAGCTCATCCATCAATTCGTCAGGTCTCCAGAGATGAGGGTACAAGTCGCGAAGCGATATGAAACCGACTTTGATCAGAAGAGCTGCCAGATAGATGAGGTTGTCGGGGAGGATATCTGACTTGTCCCGCGCTTTCGACGAGTAAAAGCGGAGCTTGAAACCAAGAAGCTGTGCTGCGACCCTGTTCCCTTTGGGGGGGAGAGTTCCTGTCTCTTCGATCCATTTCCGTGTTTCCATCTCTTCTTCTGACAGATTCGTGCTCTCTGGGAATATTCGCTTTCTCTCCTCTTCGGAAATCGTCTTCCGCCCAATTTCGAAAAATGCTCGAATACCAATCTCTCTGACTCTGTTCCAAAACTCGCGGTCTCGCTGCTCATTGGCCCGCATGATCTCAGCTCGCTCCTCGTCCGTTGTGGCCCACCCTGCGGAACCTGGTAGTGCCCAATTCGGTAGACCAGAATCTCGGTCATTGCCACCAAGAGTGCGGGAAATATCGTCCTTGGGCCACCAGGAACTAACTCGGAGAAGCTTAACAAAGAAGCGATATTGCTTCACAAGCACAGCGGCGAAGACATCAAGCGTGACATCTAAAACTCGGCCAACGTCCATATCAAAGGCTCCAATCATAGCCTTGACCCTCTCGAAGGTATCTTCAACGACCTCGCTGGTGGGTGGTTCGTTATTGCTAGTGGTGAAAAGCTCGGTCAACAGCTTGGAGTACCCTTCCGACTCCTCACGCAGCAAATTGTAGTTGGACTGTCGGTACAGAAGATTGGTTTGTTTACGAATGCCGATGCGAGTAAAGGTATCACGAACAAGACCCAGCGTCTGAAGGACGGGAGTTTCGAGTTGGAGGCGCAGAAGGGCCGCATTGATTCCTGTGGAGAAAACCAGCGGTCTCAAGGCAGGATTGCTAGGATCGGCATCAGTAAGAATTGACAGGGTGTCCAAGAACAAAGAGCGTGTGTCGAGAACTGCTGAGGGTTGCCCGTCGTCAACCATATCGATATCTTGAGCTGCAACCTCTTCACCAATAATCTCCTTAATCACCGATCCGGCGTCCGTGGGCGACAAACGGCCGTAGAACGCAGATCGGACGATTTCCTGGTAGATCGAAGCCAACCTCGACGCATCCTCCTGGTCCCTCGCCTGCACGCCATCCGTAATGACCTTCTGTCTTCCTGTTGACGTCCAATCTTCAACTACACTATCTGTGACATATTCGTAATCGTAAGGCCGCGGTGGACCCGGTGGAGGCCTGACGGGAGGCGCAGGCGAAGGCAGTGACTGTGACTGAGGCTTCGGGGACGCCTGCGCTTGTGCAGGTGTCTGCTGTACGCTCGGCGCAGGAGACGGCGAGGGCGGTATACTAGCTGCTGCTACTGTCGGTGAAAACCCGTTTGTCTGGCTCGCATCAGGCACATCTCTGGCAGGCGGAGACATGGCCGTATCCTTTTGTCCAGTGTTGACGTTGGGAATGTCATTGCTAGGTCGTCGGCTAAGGTTATTATTGTTCCTCCCGCCTCGACTAGACTGTCTTCGTACGCGACCGCGCGTTTCGGGAAAGTCGCGAGGGTGATTTGAATGCGAGCCGTGGTTGTGTTGCGCCATGTTGAGATTGCCCGGTCGGTGGGGGGATGGCCGTAGCCCGTCGTTGCCGGAGTCGCCAGACCACGATCTGTCGCCTCTCTTCCTCTTTCCTCCGGCACCTGGAGCCATGACAGCTTCGTCCGATCTAACACCTCATAGAGAAAACCGCGAAATTTCCGACAGGTCGCAACTCATGGAGCGGTCTGTTGTAGGTAAAACTGTCAGTACATGCCAGGAAGTCAAACCGACAACTAAAAGCAGAAATGCATATATGAGATGAAAAGAAATATACGATGGAGAGGACGACCTGCGGTGGTAAATAGTGCGGAGACGAGTTGTGGTGTTGTGTTGCTGGCTGAATCGATCAAAGAACCGCAGAGAGCTCCAGCAAAACGTAATTCCAAGCATGCAGGAGGATCGCGGCTACAGAGCGATTGGCGCGTTTGGGTCGCTTAAGGTCATTATCTGCGCTAAGCTCTTTAGGTTATCCCGCCGCCATTGTAGGTTATTTTCTCCCTCTATTGTTCCCCCTTTTATTACGATAGCTCTCTTATTCAAATGTGCTTTCATTACGGAGTCATTTTGCTATTGGCACGGGTATTGAATGGGAACAAAATGACCGCAGGCTGTTTTTGTCCGTTTACAACCACACATTCAACGCAAAAAGTGTATTCGTAAATCATGTTGGTCATGCATATCGTTTTGACACTTACATCAGTCCCAAAGCTTTAGCCTCAATCTCCACAATCTGAGGGATAAGGTCCATCAAACTAGGCTGTCGAGGCGACCAGCCGAACAGCTTCCTCGCGCGTATGGCATGGCCGCGAGAGTTGCTCCCCCAAGCATACAGCCCATACTGATTCAGCTCCGTGATTTGCTCATCTGACAATGGCTCAACATCAGGAGACGGAATGAGCTTCTTCTCGTAAGCCACCTTGGCCACAGCACGGGAAATATCGCCCCAGACAAACGACCCGTTCTCGGCGAGGTAGTACCCCTGCTCGTTCCAGGTGGCCTTGCCGCCTCCTGCCGCTGCGGCATCCCCTAGGGCCAGGTACACATTGCTGAGATCCTGGACGTGCACCTGGTGCCAGGTATTCTTGCCCTCGCCGATGAGGAAGCCCTTCTTCCTTTTCAGGACGGCAGAAGCTAGCCAGTAGGCCTGGACACTCTTCTGGTTGCCGGGACCGCGGCCGGGGCCGTAGATGGTAGGGGGGCAAACAATGGCGGTCTTGACACTGTCGGGAGCGCGCTGGCCGGCCCCGATAATGATCTTGTCGACGTTCCGGTGGAGGGAGTCGTCGGGCAGGTTCATCAGCTCGTCTACTCCGTCCCAGTCGTTATGCTCCTTGGTGCGCTCGATTCCCCAGGTATTGGCGCGGAAGTCTTCGACGGTCAGAATGCCGGTGCCAGATGTATGGATTAGCCAGAGGGGCTTTTCAGGTGTGTGGTGGGTAGCGCCTTTCGCGATAGCAGTAGCGGAAGCAACATGGTCGCAGTCGGCGCAGTCTGTACGTTGTGAGTATGTGGTTCGCTGGTAGCAGAGGATGTTCACGTACGGAAGACGATATCTGCATTCTTGACTTCCTCCTCGATCACGTCGGCGGAGTCGAGGTCTCCATGCACGATTCGAACATTGGGGTATTTACTGGCAAGTTGAGCCGCTTTTTCTTTGTTGCGAACCAGGACGGAAATCTGCCAGTCAGGATGTGCTTGGGAGACTGCGTAAAAGACATCTCCGCCAATGTAACCGGTGACACCTGTGCTGGAAAACGAGGTCAGATATGAGTGTCATCAAAGTGGTTAGGGCGGTTGAACATACAGGAAAACCTTAGGAGCCATATTGAATCTTTCTCTGATGTATGTAAATATCTTGGAGTGATTAAGATAGCAACGCCGCGAGCAACACGTGTGGGAACCTAACCACACTTTATAAATCTGCAGGGGATTATAATAATGCAACTCATGGACATTTCCAAGTTACACACACACTTGCTTTGAAATCAAGCGTTAAGATAGACCCTCATTACCGCACAAGACTCAATCAGAGCTTCGAGAGCTGTCGAGAAGTGGGGAGCGGGGGCCGACGGAACTTCAGAGAAGAGCATCAACACTCCAAATGATGCTACAACATCAGTGAAGAAGCTGATTGGAAGTGGAGTGCTTGTTTGGACAGCATTGCATTTGAACCCAGTGCTACCTATCATCGACAGACATGACATGATACGAGGATGTCAGAAGTACTCCGTACAACACGAGGACTAACCCCTCATGACGTCCACCACGGTAATCAGGTTGACCAAAGCGGCATCCTCCAAGTCAACCCATGGATCTTATCTTGACGGTTCAAAATGTAAATAATCTCCAGCTTATCACCAACCGAGAGGACAGCACAGAACAACACCCCAAGCTTCTTACGAAATGGCATCCGACCTCATTACAGGTAGCTGCGCCTGCCACCACATCACCTACACGGCCAGCCAGCCTCCGTCAAACGTAACAAATTGTCACTGCACCACCTGCCGCAAACAATCCGGCGCACCATACCAGAGCTGGGCGACATTTGCCCCAGGCTCCCTCACCTGGGACAAGGACAAGTTGCCCTCATTCCGGAGATCCAGTGCCTTTGCGACCCGTGGGTTCTGTCCAAAATGCGGATCGAGCGTTAGTATGAAGTATGACTACGAGCCCGAGCTTCTGAGTGTGACTACGGGGACCATTGACAGTGCGCATCAAGCGAAGATCCCGAAGCCGTCTTGTTATCTCTTTCTGCAGGAGAAGGTGGCGTGGTTTGATCTGCCTGACGATGGCGCTGAGCGGTGGGATCGGTTTTCACCGGACATGGCTGAGAGTTTGGAGAAATTGCAGACAAAGTCGAGCTGAGTGTGTCAGATACGACGGGAGATACTCTTGTGTTGTACAGACAGAACAAAAACAGTATCAACGATGGGCGTAATTCATCTGGAACTCAAACAGGGCGCGCTCTGGCCTGGGCAAGGACCACACAAGTAAACTAGTTGTCACAGGGGAATCTTAACAACATCATGTCCATAATCTACAGAAATAGATCAAAATGTGCTGGTGGCTAATCGACTGGCGGCATTCTTGGCATCGAGTCGATCCTCGTCATCGTCCGCCACGATCGAGCCAACGCCGCTGGGAGACCGCAATCGTCCTTTGGCTGTGCCTGACCCGTTAGTCTCATCGTCCTCATCTGCTGCCGGCGCAACGAAGCTACCACTCATGCTGCGTCCGAGGCTGTCACTACGGCGCGGAATCCCACTCCATGCGTCTCCCTTAGGGCCTTGACTGGAAGCGAGGTTTGCCCGGCGGACAGCCGGATGGGCTTCGCGACCTAGGCGGCTAAGTCCACCGGATGAGTCGATAGACCGAATGTCCGGACGAACACTTTCGAGAGTCGCCAAAGTTCTCCGCTCCGCTTCGATCTGGCGAAGGGTATACTCGCGCAGACTGTTCAACATATCGTTCGAGGTACGCTCAAACCAGGCACGCTTCTCCAGAAGAAGGTTCGAAGTGACGCGTTGTGTCCGCTTGGTCAGATAGTCCTCATGGCTCTGTGCCTCGTCCAGGGCATTGATGGCTTCGTCGACCTTATCCGCCCGAACGGACGAGCTGACTTTCAGTCGGTCCGCAGCTGCACGCTTGCTGCGTGTGGCTTGCTGGGCTTGTATGAGTTCGCGCAGAAGGATGTGACGATTAGTCAGTGTTTCCTTAACAATGAAGGCATCTGAGGAATGATAGCTCAAGGGATCTTCAAGTGTAGTCGCCTCGGCAGTCGCCTGGACCGCATGGAAGTCTCCAACCGTTTGAATAACCTTTCCCAATTTCTTGTAGGCATTAGCTAGGCCGGTGTGCGTCTCCTGCACGTGCATCTGCCCTAATTTGACGCCGAAATCGGATTCAGCGAGGCCGAGTCCTGAGCGGAATTTCTATTAGTGCATTCTCTTCCAGCCAAAGAGACATCAAGCCACCTACCTCGACGAGCCTTAACCACGCGGTCAACCTTATGGCTGGCATCCATAGTTCCAAGGTAGAACATCTTCACAATAGGCCGAGCATCCTGCAGTTCAGGGGTATCATCAGGCGGCGGGGCGAACTGCTTCAGGACCTTCCTCCGAACACCTGTTGCAGGCTGCTTCATTCGAACGACAGGACTATAACCAAAGTCGCTTTCAACAAACAGAACCACCTCGTCATCCTGCATAAGAATCTCATTGCTCATAACAATGTTCAACCACCGCTGCATCGATGCCTTGACTCGGATCTCGTCCTCTTCGGTCCCTGCCCCGGCGGGGGTCAATGGAGGCGGCACTGCGGGGACGAGAACCTCCGGGTTCGCGGAGATCAGATGGTCTGCTAGTTTTGTAAACTCGGCATGGGTACGCCGAACGTCTCGGTACTGTGTCGTCCTAAATTTGGGAACATTTGTCTGATGGCCGGCGTCAGTTTGTTTTACCGCAGGCGGACCGTCTCCCACAAGAACACCGCTTACATGAACATCAAACCGTAGGATAGGATCCTTCTTTCCCGTCCTCTCCAGTCCCGTGATTTTAGCTTGGATCTTATACGCAGGCCCAGTTCTGGCATTCTGTCTGGCTCCGGTTTGATACCGCGCGGGGAGCTGAGACCGAGGCTCATTCGTATACTGGGCTTGTGTCGCGTACGGTGGCTGCTCAACAGCATAGTCAGGGTCTCCTAATTGCGCACTTTGAAGTCGCGCAGATAGATCAGGCGAGTCGGGGGCTCCGTTCTCGGACGATCTTGCTCCGGAGTCATCGCCCACCTGGTCGCCATTGTAACCGGGCTGATGCTGCGGGGGTAGCGGCGAGGAGGGAATATCGTTGTTGTTGGATGCAGTGTAAGACGTCTGAGTCGCTCGAGGAGATGCCCAGGGATCAGAGCCCGAGGGATGATCCGGGTCCTGAGTTATGGCCGAATAGTCCATGGGATGTTATGTATGCCTCAGGCGGATAGGGTAGTCTTCTGGCTCCGATGGAACCACGTCTACACGGAGCTGCGGGCGCGACCTTGTTAGTTCAGACGACGACCAGGGAGGTTGAACTGAATTGATATAAAAATACCTGTAGACCCTCAAGAAAACCGATTGAAGTATTTGGAAAGATGTAAAGAGAAGTAAAAACCGCCACGACGTGGAGAAAATGAGGAGACGAGCTCTGCCTGGAGAGGAAGCGTTGAAGATGGGGGCGGAGGTAGTGTAGTACTACTGTCTTACATCGCTGGGGAGGATCGGCGCCTGATTGGCCAGGCATTCAACTCACTGATCTGCTGCTGAAGAGAAGAATAAGGTATCACCCTCTGAACCTTCTTCCTCGCGCAGTTTGCTTTATCTCCCTCTATTTCTTTCTCTATTTCCCTTCATTTAGTCTGAAATTAGAATGAATACTTCCAATTGAATGAGTATATATTGTCAATGATATCCGGTCATGGTTGCAGCTCCTTTCCTGCGCAGCTTTCCCCAGGCGGTGCGATCCAATCGTCCTAGAGCAGCTGTTGATGCTGCCAAGCGCCTTGGGGTGAGGACAGGACGAACCACGATCTCTGACAAAATATGTTCGCTTCGGGGTCGATACCAAGTAAAGGGTTTCTCGACATCTACCTCAAGATGGCAAGAGAAAATTCTGGACCGAACAAGGAACATTGGTATCATAGCCCACATCGATGCAGGCAAGACGACCACCACCGAGCGTATGCTCTATTATAGTGGCTTTACCAGAAGGATAGGGGACGTGGACGAGGGATCTACAGTCACTGATTTTCTTCCGGCTGAGCGTGCGCGAGGAATCACTATTCAGTCGGCGGCCATTACCTTCCACTGGCCGCCAACAGCCGGGGAGAGCGATAAGCAAGAAGTGCAGACCCCCAGATCTGCGACATCACATACGATCAATCTGATTGATACTCCTGGACACGCGGACTTTACATTTGAGGTTCTGCGATCGTTGCGCATCTTGGATGGCGCAGTATGCATACTCGATGGTGTAGCTGGTGTCGAAGCGCAGACGGAGCGAGTCTGGCACCAAGCAAGCACCTATCGCATTCCCCGGATTGTCTATGTTAACAAACTAGACAGAGATGGGGCTGCATTTGGGCGGACGGTCAGAGAGGTAGGCTCCAGGCTAGGGGCCTTCCCGGCTGTGTGCCAGATTCCGTGGTTTGAAAATGGCGATGGTCGCTTTGTCGGGGTAGCTGACGCGATCAACCTACAAGGCCTTCGATGGGAAGAAGGAGACGGCAAGGTGGTCAAGATGCTGAGCCTCGCGCAGCTAGATGCGGAGGAGGCCCAACTCGGTAGGGAGCTCCGACGTGCCCGGATAGCGCTTGTCGAACTGCTGAGCGAGCACGACGAGGCGATGGTGGAGAAGTTCCTGGAATGCGACGAGGACCATCTTGCCGTTCCTCCGCAAGACATCCTGGAGAGCCTGCGCCGGTGTCTTCTCGAGGAGCCAGGAAGCAACATCGTCCCCATTTTTGCGGGCGCCAGCTTCCGCAACATCGGAGTCCAGCCCCTGCTGGATGCCGTGGTGAACCTCCTTCCGAGTCCGCTCGAGGCCCCCGATCCGGAGGTCAGCATTGGAGGGGTTCAAGGAGGGCTGCAGCGCCTTCTCTCGGGCGAACTCCTTGTGGAGTCGAGCGAAAAGTCCCAATCTCCCAAAGGCAAGCAGAAGAAGAAGTCTGTCGCGCATGCAGAGTCCCAGAATGTGATGAAGAACCTGCAAGGATGTGCCCTGGCCTTCAAGGTAGTCAACGATGCAAAACGAGGGGTTCTGGTATATGTGCGCGTGTACTCTGGATCCCTGGATCGCAACTGCGTCCTGTTCAACACCAATCTCAACGTCTCAGAGCGCGCTCCGCGCCTACTCAAGATGTACGCCAACGATGCGGTGGAGGTGGATTCGATTCCAGAAGGACACATTGGTGTCGTGGTAGGCCTCAAACACGCCCGGACCGGTGATACCCTCGTCTCCTACGCGGGGAACAAAGCGACACCTCCAGAGCCACTGAATACCCTGCAGTTGCGGCCCATCAACGTACCGCCTCCCGTCTTCTTCGCCAGCGTAGAGCCACACAGTCTGAGCGAAGAGAAGAAGGTGCAGGAATGTCTCGCGCTCCTCCTGCGAGAAGACCCTAGTGTGCATGTAGCCGTGGACGAGGACTCCGGGCAGACACTGCTGAGCGGAATGGGCGAGCTGCATCTGGAGATCGCTCGCGATCGCCTGATCAACGATCTCAAGGCCAAGGCAACCATGGGCCGCATCGAGATCGGCTACCGCGAAACGCCTCTGGGCCCGTCCCCCGCCGTAACCAAGATCTTCGACAAGGAGATCGCCGGCCGCAAGGGCAAAGCCGGCTGCACGGCCCTAGTCGAGCCATTCAACCGAGACACATCACCAGCCCCTGAACCGGACGCTCTCGCTGTCGAGACCCGCGACGGGAATCAAATCATCATTCTCGCCCCCGACCTCCAAATCGAACACACCAAGAAAGGCACCGAGGAGAGCCCCTTCCTCCCACCTGGCCTGGACGTACACACATTGCGCACAGCCCTGCAGAACGGGTGCCTGGCTGCCCTCGCCCGCGGGCCCCAATTCACCTTCCCCATGCACAGCACCCGCGTTACCCTCACCCTCGACCCGGCCACACACATCTTCGGCACCGACACCACCCCCTCCGCCCTCTCCGCCGCAGCCCGCCTCGCCACATCCGCCGCACTCCGCGACCTCCTCCCCTCGCCCACGCAGCCCAGCCCAGGAACCTCGCTCATGGAACCGGTCATGAACGTCATCATCAGCGTCGACGAAGCCAGCCTCGGCGCCGTCGTCCACGACATCTCCGCCTCCCGCGGCGGCCACATCGTCTCCCTCGACGAGGACATCCCCATCACAGCTACCGATGCCTCGCCCGTGGGTGCGGGCGCCGAAGAACCCGTCATCATCGACCAGAGCCGGATCTACGCGCCCCCGGATCCCTTCGAGACGCCCTCCGTCGGCGTCGAGCTTCCCACCGCCGTGAACCGGCCCCGCACTATCACGGCGAAGGTGCCGCTGAAGGAGATGGTGGGATACCTGAAGCATCTCCGCAGTCTGAGTGCGGGTCGGGGCACGTTCGTGATGTCTGTCGACCGGTTTGAGGTTATGAGCGCGCAGCGGCAGAAGGCTGTGCTGGCCGAGTTACGTGGAGGCTTTTATTGATCGCTCCCGCAACGGTGTTGTACTATAAACTGTATACTACATACTCTACTACTCCCATCATGATAAGATGTATGTGTATGTACTGGTGGATAGCAGATGGAGATATGCTGCCGTCTCAGCTGGCATGCAACAAAATAACGCTCATTGAAATGACAATCGTACTCTAAACCATCAAAAAACAATCACGTCCAGAACGTACTTACTCACCAACCAAACGCTACCAGTTATCATCCCACCCTCCCTCGTCACCCCCTCTTCCACCCGAAGACGCCGTCCCCGTCGCATTCCCCGACCCAGCACCAGACGACCCCCCAGTCGGCCCCCCACCACTGGGCCTGATAGCTGTCGTCCCGATCGCACTCGACCGCGACGTATTCCGCCGGTGAGTATCCTGCTCCCCCAACGAGGCAAACTCATCCCAGAAATCCTTCCGCTCGGGCTCCTGGCGCCGCCGGGCCGCCGCCGCCGCCGCGCCATCATCCGGTCCCTCAACGAAGCGAGTCAAATGGTCCGCGGCGCCGCGCGCGCCAACCTGGATATTCTGGCCCAGCTGCGCAGCCTGGAGGCGCGCCTGGGCCGCGAATTCCGATTCAGCTATCTAAAGCACACATTAGCCTACTGCTTCCCCACCGAGAAAGGGCGAGGAGGTACCGTTTTCGCCGTAGGCTGGATATACATCTCATTGACTGTCTTCGCGCTCTTCCCAACAGCCGTCGTAAACCAGCCAAACCCCTTCGTTAGCGCGCCGACGGGATCCTTCTGGAACTCGTCTAGGCCCGGCACCGCCCCGCGCGCGGGGGATGTCTTGGATCCTGCCGTGGGGGGCAAGCCGCCGCCGAAGCCGGTGAATTTCCCACCCTGCGAGGGCGGCAGGGAGGCCGAGCGCGCTGCGTTCTCGGACCCCAGTTTGGCGAAGTATGCCTCGTTGCGATCTTTCCTGCTCGCGCCGGCGGGGTCGAGGCCGTCGTGCGAGGCGGGGGAGCCGGCGCCGCTGCCCCTGTTTGTGTTCGTGTTCGTGTTCGTGAACGGCGTGCTCGACCGGGAGGTGGACGGCTCCGCGGCTGGTTTTTTGGGCTTCGGTTGGCCGGGGACGTATTCGCGGCCTTCGACGGTGGCGGAGAGTCTCTCCTTCCATTCTTCGCCGACTTCGCCTTCGTACCGTTCCTTGATGGTTGAGTCTTCGAAGGTCCGGCCTTCGGACTGCGTGATGGGGTGGTTGTCGTAGAATGTCTTCCAGGGGTCGTTGCCTCCGTTCTCCATGCGGAGGATCTCGGACGTCTTGAAGGCATCCATGGTGATGGAGCGGACGAAGGAGATATGCACACCTAATCCACGATGCGTGCCAGCGCAGTTGAGGCAGATGAAGGTTCCAAATTTAGGTGAGGCCTAGACGGAGTGCCATGTCAGACTACTGTCCACGTATCCAGCCATGTGTATTGAAGCAATGGTGCGGGGTTGACGTGAGGTCAAAGAGTGGACGAACCCATTGGGGCGAAGGAGCACCGCAGTCGCAGCATCTGTCGTTTCCATTCGTCTTGGAGATTTGAAGAAGCTATATTAGAGAAATCGTCGAGTCAGCCTGGTTATCTCGATATGACACAATTTCCGCAAAACCAGGAGACACATGCATACCTTGGCCTTCGTCTCTGGATCAACCTCCCACATTCGAGACATGATGTGGCGTAAATCGTAAAACGGACGGCGATAATGAAGAAAAAGAGAGCAGGTCAGAAGACAATGGCTCTATCAACCCCCTAGACGCACTGGTGTGTTTGGAGTCGAGCCGTCGCCGATTCCCTAATTCAAGTTATTAGCAGGCGGCCTCCTCCACGAAAGATGTTTTGGTGGCCACAATGCGAGATTTGGAAGAATAGAGCAATGTGTTAAAAAATGATAGAGAACAGGCAGACAAGAGATATATTGAACCAAATATGTCAGAACAAATAAATAGTGTCTATCCGCCCAAGGACGAAGATTGTTCGACCTCAGGCTCCTGATCGAGAATGAGCGCCAAGAGGTCTCCGTCGGACTACCACATATGACGGAGCAGGGGGGACGATATCGCGCAAAACGATCAAACTCCACTATCAAGATTCATAATTACGGTACTGTGATGGATATGAGGATAATAGTCGTTCAAAGTAGACTACAAAAACAAGAAGACATTCAAGGCCAGCCTTGCGGCATATTTCATAAGCTAAATGGTGGCTAAGATACAATACAGCGAATAAAGGCAAGATTCGTTAGAAAAGGTCGAGTCTCCCGTCATCACGAGATCCTACGCCGTTGGTCATCTCTCCGGGCAGGGAAGCCAGTTTGGCTGTCCCATATAAAACAAAGGAAAAAAACATCATCATCAGTCGGAGCTTCGTCCCCTGACCAAGTCGAACGGAAATGATATCCACAGCTTTCCCCAGGCCTCTTTTAATCGAGAAAAAGAAAACTTTTGTCGAAAAGAGCATCTTCATGATGCTTACCTATGAATATAATTATCCATGCGCATTGGCCATCACTCCTGCACCATCAGTGACCCCGACTGACTTTCATCAGCCGAGAAATGAGAACTTGTTCTGGAATGGAACGATCTTGACATTTAAGCAGCAGCTGGGGGAGTGTTCTCCTGCTCCTCAGCAGCAGGAGCGGCAGCCTCAGTCTGCTCACCCGTGGGAACGGCGTCATCCTCCTTGCCGGGACTGTCGATGGCGACCTTGACGGCAATTTCACGACCCTCAATCTCCTTGCCATTCATCTCCTTGACGGCCTTCTCCTGGAGCTCTTCAGAGCCGAGAGTGACGAAACCAAAGCCACGACCCTTACGACGCTCGTTGCGGGCCTGGAGCTTCTTGATCATGAAACGAGGAATGGGGCGCAGGGCAATCTTGGCGGAAACAGGCTGGTAATCGGCAAAGATTTCCTTGAGCTGGAGAAGAAAGTTAGTAACGTGGCTCAGGTTGACTCAAGGAAGATACGTACCTTGTCCTCGGTCAGATCATAGGGCAGGTTAGCTACCATGACCTTGGTCTTGGAAGGAATGCCATCCTCGGGGGGGCCACGCTGCTTCTGAGGACGAGGAGCACGAGGCTTGCCAGCCTGCTTAGCGGACTCGACAGCACCGGCATTAGTAGCCTCGTTGGCGACCTCGGTCAGAGGGTCAACCTGACCGGGAACGTTGGTAGGAGCCTCAGTAGTAGCGGGACCGTTCTGTTGGTTCTTGGTCCATATTGTCAGCAAACGGTTGGACACCAGTTCAAAGTGTAAGGGAAACTTACGCGACCTCCACGACCGAAACGACCTCCACGGCCACGGCCGCGACCGCGACCACGGGCACGACCACCTGCCCGCTTGCGGCCTTCAGTGCCACTGGCGCCCTCACCGCCACTTGCAGCACCCTCCGCCTTAGCCTCGGCGGGCTCTGGCTTGCGGGCCAACTGGACAGAGACCTTACGCTGAAGGATCTCCTTTCCGGAGAGTTCCTCGATAGCAGCAGTCGCCTCGTGAGCAGTGGCGAGATCCACAAACGCATAGCCGACAGGGCGGTTAGTGCGGGGATTCACAGGAATGGAGGTGCTTTCGCTGTAGAGAAATCATGAGTTAGAATTTGAGTTCATTCACGAGAAATAAAAACAAAAATCAGTTCAATGGAGCGATTCATGTCCCAGATGTAGCTTTTTCCAATGAGTGGCGCGTTGGTGTGCTCAGTGCTGTGACACACGTGGCGGCATCTACCCCAACAATAGTAGCTGTGCTACCCGTTCCCGCAGCTACCAGCGCACTCAAGGATCCAAAGAGAAAACAGAAGAAATGAAGGTCAAGAAGGGGCCGCAACTCACATCTTGTAGTTCTTGAAGAACTCCTTGAGCTCCCCCTCAGTGGTCGCATAAGCGAGGTTCCCAATATACAGCCGACGTCCCTCATCGGCACTGACCGCCGCAGCATCGGTGGCCTGAGCCGGAGCGGGAGCAGTACCGTTGGTGGCCTCGGTGGTGGTAGGGGCCTGGTTGTCGGCTTGGTTCTCGGCGGCAGCAGACATCTTGAAAGACTGATGACACAAAAAGTAGGTGTGGTTTGTTGAACGGACTTGACGAGATGCACGGATGTGGTTGATGTGTCACGGACTCAGGGAAAGCTTGAAGTGGCCTGCCTGTTCTTTTTGGACTTGACGTTTGACTTGACTTGATCGGTTGGGACCGGAAGAACTTGAAGAGGGGGGGGTGGAGGGAGGAAAAGGGTAGCTTGGTGCCCTAGATACGGAAATTTGAGGGGGAAATCCTGGATTTGAACTCAATTGAAGATTTGCCTTGGGAGGGAGAATGGGAAGTCGAGACGGAGAAAGGAGAAGGCGAGAGAAAAAGGGCAGCAGCAGCGGGTGATGGCACGCTAATCTGTTTATGGTATGTTGATGCCTGAGGATGTGATTTACATAGTGCCCCGTCTGCGGTGCTCTCGGGGGGCGGTGAGCCCTGAGTCATCGGCGGTTGGCCCCTAAGCTTAGGCATTGGGTCCACCTATGCCTTCCTGGGCCTTAGGGGGATCGAAGGGGCTCTCTTAGCTTCCATTAAAGACTCTTCCGCCAAAGCACACCACAGAAAGTCAGGTTCTGGACGGTGTTGACATCACCGCTATCCACTCTCCGGTGGCTACTAGGCCTAGTGTACCAAACATTGAAGCAATAGTCGGGTTAATAGATACTACGGCAGAAGTATGGTACGATTTACGAATTTCAGATGATATTGTCATGCCAACCTAAGTCAGAGGGGTAAACATCCTGAACTCATGGTAGCGAGTATTGTCTTTTGCGCTGCCGCTGAATGCAGCCAAGACCACTGTGGCAGATCCCAGACTTGACACTTTTAGGTAGTGAGCTCGTGCTCGTATCTGGGTTGGGCTCCACAGTCTACCAAACCCACAGCACTTCCGATCGCTGATGAACTGCCATCCATGAACTTCTTAGCGATTACCGTCGAAAGCGACTCTCTCCATCGCTTTTCTTCCCTCAACTTGCAAGAACCTCATTGTAGCTTGCAGTATGCAGAGCTTTAACGACGGCTTCGGTTCTCCAGCCATCGACACTCCACCATCTCAACCTCCTCTTTGATCCTGGCATGCAACTCTTCCTATGTTCCATCTAGGAATACGCGATGAGAGATTCCGAGCGCTAGGTTTTCGCAAAAGGTCTCAACCATCTGTGTCTGAGGCCATGCCCCTTGGCATGGAGTGAAAATGGTCGTTCGGGTTGGCGGCTGCATCATCTGGTACATGCGTGCTCTTGGTTTCAACACGCTCAAGTAATACTTCCACCACTCAAGGATCATCATGTTACCAAACTGAGCTGTGGTGAGATGCTCTTCCTTCTTCCAGATGAATTCAGGGTCACCCATGATAGCAAAGATTAGCGCGCAAAATGCCACAGAGACTTCGGGGACTGTACATTCATGTTCTTGCGCGAACAATTCCCACGGGAACATTTTTGTGACCATCCGCGCCATGTCTCTGAAGAATGATTCTGTATAGGGGTTTGCCCGCTGGATACTGTTCTGTATATTTAGTTAGTTTCCCGCCTGTATACAATGGACTTTCAGGCTGCCTGACAAAGGGTGCGATAGGTTGAGCGCGGCCAGATTGTCCCACAGGCAGAGTGTAACGCTGAGCTCTAGGTCGAGCATCAAAGGGAAAGACAGCAGCGACAGGAGCGACAGGCCAACTGCAGTTCTGAGCATCATACTGACCAACATTCTGCATATAGCCTGCTTGGTGACTGCTTGAGTCTTCTCGGTAGCGGCGGGACTCTGTTCTTTCACTGGGAGTTTTGCCGTTTTGAGGACAGTAGGTCCTGAATTGCTGTTTGTCCTTTTGCTGGGCACCTCTGGCTCTTTCTTTGCCTGTGGCTTAGGCTCTTTGACTGAAACTAATAAGATACATTAGCACTCTTTCTCAGCACCAATCAGCTGATGCGTACCGTTGCAGAGTCTCTTGCTTTTTGGGACAGTATCAGACTTGAGGGTCTGTGTCGTCTTCTCTTCAGTCATTGTCAGGATGTGTTCTAAAGTCCGAGATCCCTGGCAGCTCTTCAAGGCCTGATTGATTGGAATTAAATGTGCAGATAGCTGAGGTAGTGTTGCTGTGTTACTCCCTCATCCTCTAATATCATAGCGTGACACTCGCTTATGCTGGCACTTTTGTAAGCGGTAGTGCGCACTTTATTGTAAGGGTTGTCTGGCTAAAGAGACTTGCAAAAAAACAGCTCTTAGGAGATATGTTTGCATAGAAGGAAGAGAGTAGCAAAGTAGATGTATACAGACTAGATTAGGGCCGTTAGATATTTATCTACAGGAGTCTGTAAGTGAATGTAGGATAGATTTACTATGGTCACTGAATTCTCCCACTACCATCATCCTTACTCGATTAAGACATGCTTAAGTTTAGGACATTCACTGTGCTAGGACACTTATCAATTTATTCTGTGCTTTTCTGCTCAACATACGTCTCCAGTTGTGTCTTGTTGATAGTCAGATAATATGTAGCCTCAGGCACTAACTTTCTTTCCTCCAGTGCAGATCTCGAGTCATATATATCAGACTAGCTGATAACTGGACGTCAACAGTGATCCATTATTGCATACTATATCTCTGTGGCTTCCGATAATTAATGCAGCAATGTCTTGGATGACAAAGTGT